AAGGCCAATCTTGTCGGCGAGTAATGTCAAGTTGGTGTTTCCCCAGACCCGGCATTACACGGAAAAGAATGGACCGTGGGAGTGGCTTGAGTGAAGGAGAAAATAAGTGGCGGTGGTGGAGGAAACACAGAGATAAGGTAAAGAAAATTGGAGGTTTGCCATGACGATCACGAAGGTATCGCCAGCAGCGCAAAAGGCGCGGAGAAAAAGGACCCTGATACCCCATATCTGACTCATATCACGAGTTATTCCCGCCGAAGCTGCAGTCCTTCGGTTGATCACCGAACAAACTTGACCGCCGGAGCCTTTCTCCTCCTCGGCGAGCATGAATTGCGTGCTGTGTGTGTTGTGCTGCCTCACGGATAAAGGTGGAGTGAGGCGGGAATACGCAGGGTCTTTTCGGCATTGCCTTCACACTGTCGTTGGTGCAATTGAGGACCAGAGCCACTGGAACCACTTGTATCTCCAACGATCAACAGGCTAGAAAGCTGCTGTGAATCCAGACGGCCAAACAAATCCATTATCTGCAGGGTTCACTACGGGCCAGACCGTCAATCATGAATATCACTGATCAGCAGCAGCTCCTCTGTCTGATAAGCAGATCTATCAACGTTCTGGGCTGCTCGGCTGGGAGCAAAAGCCCCTTTGTGCAGCTCCTGCGACAGCTCCAGACTCTCACAGCTGTGTTTGGCTCGGAGGGGGAGGGTGAGGTGAGGGCTCGAAGCGCAGATCATTTCTTGGCCAGAGTGCGGAGAAGCTCTTGAAGCTGTCTCACTCATCCTCAGGCGAGCACATCCGACAGCTCAAGCTCACCAATCTGATGTCTTCCGACTCACAAGCGACAGCGCTAGATTCGGATCACAGCTCTGAATGCACCCTCGCATATATGTGTTGTTACTATCTGAGTTCTCCTGCTTCCGATATGTCGAAAACGTTTCTCCCTTTGACTCGACCGGGGCGAGGCAAGCGCCGAGGGAGAGTCAGTAGTTCAGCCGAGCGCCAAGGCCTTTCGGCGAGGGGTAAAGGCTTTTCACAGTCAAGGAATTAAAAAAAACTGAATCCAAATTGATGCTGGACATACTAGAGAAAGGCCGAAAGGATTACGGAAGGGAGACCGCCACAAGGTGGAGAAGAAGCCGCAAAAGCGGCTCCGACTGTGGATGCGGGTCTCCGAAGAATACGCCGGCGTATCGCTTGTGGAGAGATTGAGAGAAATATCACAGTCTTCACCAGGTTTAAACCGTTGCCAAACGTAAGCGAAACCGTATTGCTTTGAGTAAATGGGGAACAATTAAGAAAACTCTTCACTTTTTTCGCTTCTACCCAAGATTCTTGCTTCTTCCACCGGATTTTGAAATTGAATATTGTGCCCAATGGCTAGGTTGGTTAGGATTAAACCCTGCAGCTGTACCACCGAGATTCCTACCGACCAAGACATCGCGGAGAAGAAATACAGTGCCGTGATTGGCTACCGATATCGATATCCATGCCAGCTAGCGGTGAGAGGGACGAGCTGCGATTCGTGCGCTCAAGCAGCCTGGACGAAAGGGGAAACTTGCTGGCCCCCGGGGAGCTGTCCAAGGTTTGCTGGCTAAACGGGCATGCAGGGTAAAAGAATGCTCGGTCCGGGATTGATTTCTATGTACAGTGCAGTTTAAACTATAACCCTAAGTGGGAAGTTGGGAAGACGAAGAACCTTTTGAATTTTGTTTTACTAGGCACCCCCTGTACCCTGGGGGATATTGGGGGTAGCCCTGGAGTTTGGGTTGACAGCTTCTAGATTTGGAGAGGAAAACGGAATAGGTTGCGATAAGACGCGATATTAGGTAGGTAGGCTTCGGCGGGAAAAAGACCGAAAGGTCGGAGGAGAGAGTTTCAAGATGTGTACGGTAGCCGTGGTTGTGTGCTTGTCTGTCTACCGAGGATGCATACATACATCGTACTGTACTGTACTGGAGGCATATGATATGATTTGTTGTTTACTACTGAATGGCTGTCATTGTTTATGCCGTTGACCGGCGGTGAAATTGAACTATCCTCGGCTTCCGCAACTTTAGTGGTTGATGGCGCAGCTGGATCGGACAGTCGCTGCAAGATGGTACCCCAACCGATTGATAGATGACTCTTCGGATGGTCGCTGATTGACTGTGAGTGGTAAAACAATTAACCAACTACAGACGAATATTCGCTGGCATTGCAACACCACGAAGCACGTATGTACGTATCCAGCAAATAGAAACGAGTGCCCTTTGCATCAAGGGAGCGGTCAGCGATTGATTGATTGCGAGATGCAAGCTGTGCCCTACCTCTACCTGCATTGGATCGCGCATCTTGTCTTGGCCCTTGCTTGGAGACAGGACCAATCCAGCAATCCCTCAATCCTGTGAATGCCCTCCCTCCCCCTCTTCCCAAGTAGGAAAAAAGAACAGCCAGAGTTGAGTGTCAGCCAGCCCTGTGGGATGCATATGGTGTGGTGTGCGGCTATCAAAACCTACTCTTGCCCGACGCGACGGGAAAGTTTGGGCGCTGAGCTATCTCGGGACAACGTATGCCAGGGCAGCAGCCCAGAGGCAGAAGCACAAGCAACCCGAGGATCGACCGCGGGCCAGGGACCGATCTTGGGTGTGTTGGGCGCTGGAAGAATGGGAAGACGGGCCTGGAAGGGGAGGGAGGGAGGGCGTGCGTGGGGGAGAGAAAAGACGGAACGGAAGAGGAGAGAGGAAACTTGAGAGACATGGAAAAAGCAAACCAGAGACAAACGCATCAATCAATCAATCAATCAATCAATGAATTCGATAAATTACTAGACATGACAAGAGATGAGACAACAAACTCCGAATGAGTTCATCACTCATTCTCCGAATCGTAAGCGGATGGCTTTTGATCCGAATCGAATAGACAGAGAAAAAGGAATGAATCATCTGCGATCATCCTAGGAGCGAAAGCGACGGAACTCCCACTCGCTCGCTACTACAGGCTACAGGCTACAAGAGCACCAATGAAGCATCGATACCTCGGGCTGATGAGTGATGAATACGTTGATTCGTGTCGCAAACTATCACATCACATCGTATCCAATTCGCAACCGATTGCTGCGCTGCGCTGACTCTTCCGTAATCATTCATCACCTCCATACGATTACATTATACGGTGGGTGAGTAATTCAGTTGGTCAGCCTGGGCGGTAAAAATGATAGAGAGTCGCTTTCCATTACAGCTTGTGACTCTATTGATGACTGTGACTTGTGTCCCATTGCCGCCCGCGCAGCCCGTGATTTGGTAACTTGACCCGCGGGAGGGAGGCTGTGATCCAGGCGACGGCAGCGAATCGCACACGGTGTAATTGCCATTGTGGTTGCGATTCGCAGCTTTTAGGCTTTTGGCTTTTGACTTTTGGCTTATGACATTCTTTACCTTGGGCTTTGGGGGAATCTGGAGGAGGCGTTTTTTCAACCCCGGATTACGAAAAAAAGCCACAGGGCAGATGAGACACAAGCCAGCTTGCTTGGGGTTAAGCAAATCAGACAAACAAGTTTGATGTGTCTTGGATGAGAGCGGATTGTCTTGGACGATGACGGGATTCATCCAATACGGATCCTGAGTCTTGTCTTGTGTTATTGTTGATCTGGATGTATCGGTAAATGACATGCAATGCTGTGATCCGTATGTATGAAAAGGCCTTGCTTATCTCACCGTCTGTTGGGGGAGAATTACTTTGGTTTACACCGTACGCAGGTTTTATTTTTACAAAGCAAGTTACTCTCAAACACGGCACAGCTCTCAGCTCGTCCATCCCGTCACCGCAATACGAGTGTGCATACATACATACAGGAGTCATTCAATGCTGGTAACCATCCATTACGAGGCTAATCAATTTATGCTTTGCTGTTGTTCCTATCAATAGCAAACAACAACACAACGCGGTGAACAACGGTGAACAACAAACTTGATTTCTGGAAGACTTCGGCTTCATCTTCGTCCTTACGGCGCGATCTCGGCACATTCAGCGATTTGACCCGAGCGCGATAAGCCATTCTCTAGAGCCTTTACTCTACTCTACTGACTCTATTCAAAGAGTCTTGGCGAATTCTTTGATTGATTGATAGAGAATAATAATTAGATCTGGATACCGAGTTGGCTACCCGCTCGGCGACACGCCCCCCATATCTCTCAACTCAACCGCCATAACCAGAGCCTTCAGAGGCCTTGAGAGTCTCTGACTCTTCCTTTTCTCCCCACGGATCCGCTTCGGCCACCCCATCCCCCCCAAAAATTACCAGTGACAGGCGTTGTATCCGCTCCGCCCGTCCACTTAGCCGCCTCTGTGTCGCCCTGATATTCCCCTTCCAGGTCTCTCTGACTCGAATTTCCCACCGCTCTTTTCCTCTCGCCACGCCCCCCCCCTCGTCCACTCTCGTCTCCTCTCTCTTCACGTTCACCTCCTCTTCTTCTCCCGTCACCTCGTTCCGACACCCCCTACACCTCGGTCGGGAGCAGTCCGCAGGCTGAATTTCAGCAGCAGGAAGCCTAAACGACAGCGCAGGGCAGGGCAGTTGGCAGCGGTATCTGGTTCTCTTCCCGGCGACCGAACTTGAGGACCCTTGACCCGCACTCGCACCCGTTCTCGGCCGCACCCCCAGGCTCAGTCAGGCTCAGGCTCAGACTCAGGTCCTCTGTCACCTTGCACACACCCCACGCCCCTATTGCAAATCATCCATTCCATTTCACACCCTCTCCCAACCTGAACCCGATCTTTCTTCTTTCTCATCTCACACGCCCCTGGCCTCCCTTAGCCGGCTGCCTGCCCGTTCTGCTTCATTCATTTATATCTACCCGCATCCCCAGGTTTTCATCCCAAGGATCCATTTATCTACCGTCCACAAAACAACATCATTAAGCCAAGTGATCACCACTTACACTTGCTATTTAGCAACAGCTATAGCTCTTTGAGCTTCACTCACGACCATCACCTCGCCCATCACCAATATCACAACCACAACAATGTTCGGCTCATACAGTTCCATCAGCTCCATGTGCGCGTCCTCAGCGCCCATGGACATCGCGTCTCGCAACATCTACCGATCTCAGGATTCCGCCTGCGCTTTTCCATCATGGCCCCGACGTGACTCTCTCTCCGAGTCTGATCGAGAGGAGCGACCCACCTCTTATCTATCCGACGACGATCTGTTCCTCTCCGATCCCTTCGACGACGACGCCCAGAGCGTCTCCAGCGCCGGCAGCTCTTCTCCTGGTGCCATGGCCTCTCCTCCCAACGTCATCACCGACTTCGAGCTCATCCAGGCCGAGCGCGAACGCCAGGCCGCTTTGCAACGAGAGTGCCTTCGCGTTGTCGCCCTCGAGAAGGAGCGTCGACGTGCCGCCGCACGAAAGCAGCGCCGTAGCAGTTCTCACAAGAAGAGTCCCAAGACCAAGCTCACCTCCATCAACGAGGAGGCTGTTGAGTAGACAAGGTCCTGGGAACTTGTTAATGACTGTTACGATTTACGATAGCGTATGTTTACATGTTACCCAAAGACAGCAACAGTCACTAACAATATTTTAGGCTGCTTTTTGCATTTACATGGCATATGATACCCCACACAACAGAATACAACTACAGCATCGCATGTGCGCAAGAATAGCTGCACATGCCAGATTCATCTACACCACTATTCCATCATATGAGATGGGAAATCTCTTCACACAACCACAACAACCATAACAAGCTGTCACTCGCTATAATACCGGGCAACCTTATTCAGCTGTCGGATCGACTTGTAGCCGCCGGCTTGATTTTCGGAGACCACCATTATCTTGGTCGATGACGCCATGGTTAGACCGCCTCAGACCCCAGCAAATCAGAGGTGGGGGTGGGGGTTCACCCAACCAAGCCCAAGCAAGAATGAGTCAGATGGATGAGCCAAGCTTTGGAAAATGGATGACAACAACAACAATCAACAGTCAAGTCAAGCACCATCATTCTTCCATCAATTCCTCATGCTTTCCGATGGCTGCCGAAGTTGATACCGCCGGGCGGGTGGAAGCTCCCCCATCTAGACAACCTTTCTTGATGATGTGGATGTTTCTTCTCCGGACCGTCGGCGACCTCGGCCATCTGCCGCTCACTTCTCTTGTCTTCCCCCGCATGGCGGCCCGGTAAACGGATTCGTCTTCGGTCCATCATTATCCGCTTGCTACTTTTTTCTTCCTTTCTTCCTGTTGAGGCTTTTAATGGAGCCCGACATTTTATCTTTTCCGTCCCGGTTCACCGGGCTCATTATTGAGTTTATTTAATCGTTTTCGTTTTCGCACACCCTCTTAATGGAAGGCATTCATGTATGGGAGTTCTTAATATTGCATCGTCTTCTGGCTTGCATCATCATAGGGCATGGGTTATTTGGATACAGGTTGTGCTTCAGCCTCCCATCACTGGGATGAATCAGCTGGCACACACCTGGCATATGGAATGGGAAACATTGGCATGGCATGGCATGGAACTGCATAGCATTGGATATGCACACAACATTGCATGGTTTACACGGCGATTTGGGCTTTTAGATACCTTAGGATAGTTTGGCGGCCTCGAGCCTGCCCTGATTTCAAGATACCCCTTTAGTTAGCATCAACAATCATATCTGGCATACACATCTACTCTACCTAGCTCTTGTCTCTGATTCATGTGATGTGCAGCCTCTGCTTGTGACATCTGCTCTGGTCTCCCTTCAGGCGCTTAGCCCTCAGTATTATCACCAACTTTGGGGCACGCACTCAAGCTTGGCAACAATAAAGGGCCACAAGCCAATCTCACAAAAGCGTGTGGCACAACAAAACTCTATCAGCCAATAGCCATCAACCATTACCGAAGCACACTTTTCGAGTACCGGCGACAATAGGGACCTATCTATTTTCTAGCCTGGCCCGTGGTAACGTCCCGTGCCGGGGACTTCGAGGTCAAGCTGCTCTGTCACATGGGGGCATAACGCCTCAACCGCGGGGGTTGGTTGGTGGAGAGGGCGGTGAGTGGGAGATCGGCGATAAGAGACAATGAAAATTCACGTGGTGAGCTTGTGATTGAGAATAGAAGCTTATGATATTTTTATTTGGTTGTGGTTGGGTGTTTGGATAGGAAAGATGATTGTGATTGTGAAAGGATATCGGTAGTTGGTGATAATTGTGAGCGAGTGTGTGTCAAAGAATCGTGCACGGTTGGGGATGTTAGCTTAGATCGCGGGGAAGACGGCATTTGCTTTGTTTTGCTGTGATTTTAAGTTGGTTTGTCCCGTTTGTCCCGTGTGGCTTGATAGATTAAATGTAATCTTGTATAGATGCTTGTACTGATATAAGCTTTTGTATTGTTAGAGTGTTGTCGTTGGCTGTTTGTATACTACCAAGCCTAACTCAGGAACAACAAACAAACACAAAGAGACTACAGACTTTCAACGGGCGCTTGTGCCACCTAGACTACATGCAGATCATGTCTCAAACGATTTAGATGCCGTTGAGTCTTTGTTTGATATGGGGTGTATATCGCGCTGGTGATGCCGAAGGCGCGAGGAGTGAGGAAGTAAAACTTGCACCAAAAGAAGCCAAGAATAGAACCACAACGAGACGTTAAACGGTCCGAACGGGAGTGTCCGAGATGGCATAGCCTATCTGGCTTAGAGTAGCCGAGATAGGACAGACTCGTGCTTTGAGTTACCTTTGTTTCAGTGACCATCTCGATGTCCGGTTCTCTTGTTGGCATTTTGAGGGTTTACACAAACGCAGATATCCGGGTCTAAGCTTTTGAAGACCTGGAATTGAGACCTTCTAGAGGTCTGAGTTTGTTCTTGTATTGCTTGTGTGACAATCGAGAAGTTGCAGAGAAGGTCTTTGATGATCTGGAGCATGCTGCTCGTGGATGACAGGACTGCCTCGATCGAGATCAAGAGATTCATCGTTCCACATAGAGAGTCATTCAAAAGTAAGGGTAATGCATCGATGTTCTTGAATATACTTTTATTGGTCATGCGAGAAGTCTCTTTCCTTTCTAGAGATGCTCGATATAAGTCAGATTGAGTATTCAAGACCGATATCAAGGAGCAAGCACAACCGGACCACAAACTAGATGAGACGCATTGAGACATTTCTGATGTATTCGAGAGCAATCCGGCAAATACAACTCTCGAAAGTTTGTCATTTAGACAGCAAAGGCCAGGTCAGTTGAGGAACTGGCCTGGAAGAACCACATAACATGGAGTTATACCAGGGAAGAAGGGAAAGCAGCATACTGTGAGTTCTTCATTAAGGCCTATAGAATAGCCTCTTACGGATAAACCTTATCTTATGGTAGTCTAGGTCTGATTTCGTTTACCCATCATGTAGTTGCATAGCTTTGATGATGGCGAGGCCCAGCATCCTCACTTCTTTAGAACCCCTAGTTAAGCTTCTCAGCAACGTGACTAGGCAGAGGCTGATTCTGATGCAAGTGATATGGGTGAAGTTCTAGCTTGGCATTATATTCACAGATATTATGACTCGATCCAGCGGCTCATACTCATTCATGATATAGTCCGACGATGACTTGATCCAGCCAGCTTCTTGCATCTAGCACAGGAAGAACATAAGTGATAGTTAGCTTCATGTTAGTAGATTCGTAAGCAATATAAGAGTATAGCATTAATAATTCATGACATTTGCGTGATGTTGTACGGTCATGAGGTAATTTTGATTAGAAACCTCATCGCATTCATCATCTTCCCTGCATCATGGATTTGTCAAGCCTCGCTCCCTCAACCTCACTACTCACAAGTCAACTCACGACAAGCACCCATAAAAACACAGGTATGAGAGACATTACACTTCATCTTATAGTTCATTCAATAATTTGAAATTTAATTGATACGGGTACAGCGAAAATGATCTGCGATCAAGGTCTGGAGCATCTCCGTCTGGCAGTCTCACTCGCCCACGAAGCCCTCAAAGCAGGAGACGCCCCTTTCGGTTCAGTCCTCGTCTCATCGGAAAACAAAGTCCTCCAAACCGACAGAAACCGCACCGTCACAGGCTCCAACGGTGATGGTCGTGCTGATTCGACGCTTCACCCAGAGTTCACTCTCGCACGTTGGGCACAGCTCAACCTAAGTGGTGAAGAGCGCGCTAAATCTACTGTATACACAAGCGGCGAGCACTGCGCTATGTGTTCTGCTGCCCATGCGTGGTGTGGACTTGGGAGGATTGTGTATGCTTCTTCGACGGAGCAGCTGGAGGCTTGGAAGGCCGAGTTTGGTGTTAAAGCACCGGTTGCGCCGCTGAGTATCAACCAGATTGCTCCGGGGCTTACCGTCGAAGGACCTGTTGAAGAACTGGCTAAAGAGGTTTATCAGTTCCAAGTTGAGAGTTGGACGGCCAAGGGCTTCAAGTCCAAGTCCAAGGCTTGAGGTAGAGTCTGTTGGTGTTTCTGAGTGAGCTGTAGCGTGGCGTATGTGGATGGAGATGCATAAATGCGAGAACTATTTGATAGCAGAAGCTTGAGATGTTTGGCTGTAAAATATGCCTTTTAGAATTGCTTGTTGTAACATTTGTCTGTGAGCTCGCGATGTGAGGCCCGATGGGTGTGCTTGGATTGACTTTTATGCTTGTTCCGCCAACTCCAGCAAGCAAGAACCGAGCCATAGATATTGAGAGATCAAACGAGTTACAGGCTTCAGACCTTTTTTTTTACTATGGATTAACAAAAGATCAACGAGACTGCAAATTGATCGATTTCGACCACATGAGCAAAATATAATCCTATTTTCCCACATGCCTATCATCCAATCAGCTTATCCCCTGTGGCTTAGTTGGCTAAAGCGTCCGACTGTTATTCATAGACAATCGGGAGATCGGAAGTTCGAGCCTTCCCGGGGGAGACATGCTCTCTCAGAGTTTCTCTTTTTGAGTCTTCTATCTTCTATTCACTTAATGTCGCGCCTTGAAACATGCAGTCGTTTTGTTTTGTTGCTGCGCTGTATACCTAGTTTGCCTTGAAGGATCTTAACTGAGACTCCATAGACAACTGACAAGAGGGACGTCTCTCTGCGTTCTTTAAAGGATATACAGCAAACTAAGTACTGACAATTTGTTTAAATAAGCCAACTTAAGTTCCAGCAGCAGGTATATAATGCTGTTGCGCTTTCTGCCACAAGCTCCATATCCTCAACCCGGTCATTCTCCAGGGGTCGATCAGCTTGATTAGAACTCTTCTCTTGATGTAGTGTAAGTGAAGCAGACTTCATAATGCTGTAGCCCTATACTCCATTCAACATGCGGTTTATCTTGGTGTTCTTCTATTACCATAGAAGCCAATCACAGAGAAAAGATCTCATCATCATGTGCAGTGAGACGGTTCATACGAGCACAGCCTGAGTTCAAATCACACTACTGGGAGAATACCGGTCAATAATCAATTATTCCTCCGAATTATAATCTGAATCCGAAAGATTCCC